AGTAGCGTCACCCGAAAAGCAACGTCGCGAGTTGATTTTGCCCAAGCACCTGAAAAATCCTCAACTCTCTCATCGGCACATCGGAAAACAACTCGGAATCGTGCAGTCAACGGTGAGTCGTGTGATTTAACGTTACTACGAAACTCTGAGCATCGAATGGAAGGAGAAATGCGGTCAGAATGGATGTTCTATTAGTGCTCAGGATCACAAGCGTGTCGTGAAAGCGTTTAAGCGGAATCCCAATGCTTCGGTCAGGGATGTGGCCAAAAAGTAGAATCTATCCAAGTCTTTCGTTCAGAGAGCAAAGGAACAGGAGGGACTGCATACGTAGGCTCCAAATCGTGACGAACGGAAAAATACGGTGGGAAAGTCATGGCCTCAGAAACTGTACACCTACATGCTGACGAAGCCTCATTGTCTCATCATGGATGATGAGACTTCCCAAGTAACAATTTCGGTTTTATGAGGGTTCTGTAGACCAAGATTTAGACTTGTAGTATGCTTTAAAACCTCAATAAAGCTTTCAATGTTACTTGGGTTACGTCAAGGCGGAATTCCGGAAGCTTCCAGGGCTACTGTTCTTCACCGCCCAGCACAAGTTTGATGTTCCAGAGGAAGTAAGGAAGCAGAAACTTTCAAAGTTTGCCAAGAAATACATGATTTGGCAAGCGATCTGCTCATGTGGCAAACGGGGTGCGCCGTTCGTGACAGTGGACTGGGAGATTCACCTCAAGGAGTGTCTACAGGAGCGTCTGCTTCCTCTGTTGAAGCAACACGAGGGCCCTACGATATTCTGGCCGGATCAAGCTTCGTGCCACTATTCAAATGTTGTCTTGAAGTGGTACGAAGCCAACGGGGTCACTTTCGTACCCAACACACCGGAACTAAGGCCCATCGAAAAATACTGCGCTTTTATGAAGGAGGTCAAATCTGAGGAAGACATGAAGAAAAAGTGGGTGTCCATACAGAAGAAGCTGCAGTCAGACGATCGCGTGGCACACATCGAGAGTGGCCTGCTTTTGTCGACAGCCGAGTGAACACTCAAAATAATATATTTTAAACGTATTTAAAAATAGCTTTCCTATTGTAATTCGTCGTGGATAAGGTTCCAAAGGGTGACATCAAGACCTACACTGGCGACTTGAATGCAAAGATCAACATCGACAACACGGACTATGAGCTTCGGCTCCGAAAACGGTGAGCTGTTTGCAGAATTTAATGGAAATAACGACTGATGATCGGGGATTCGCTCTTCTCCCATCGGCCAGTGCACAAAGTAACGTGGCTTTCCCGTGATGGACAAACCGAAAATCAGATCGACCACATCTGCATCAGCCGAAAATGAAGACGGAGCCTTCTTGATGTCCGGAATAAACGCAGCGCCGACATTGCGACCTTCTAATCGGCGTGATTCACCTACGCAGCGACGGGAGGAGAGACTCGGGCGGCGGTTCAATACACGCCTGAAGATCCAGCGGTTAAAAAGGTCTTTCGTTGAAGAACTTGAGACTCGAGCTCCGGACGTTTCAGAAAGTGGCAGCGTAGACGAAAAATGGACAGCCATCAAGAATACCTTTATAGCGAGAACAACCTGGGTGAGTTGCGCACCCAGACGAAAAGTGGATCACTGTTGAAACCTGGCGGAAGATTGAGGAGCGTAGAAAAGCAAAAAACCGCGATAGAGCGGGCGAGAACCAGAGGAGCCAAGAACGAAGCCCCTCAACAGCTCTAGAAAAGGAAGTCAATCGCTCTTGCAGACGAGACAAGCGAGCGTGGGTGCACTCCCTGGCCGACGAAGGGAAGAAAGCCGCAAACACTGGCGATATACGCCTCCTCTACGATATCTCACGACGCCTGAGTGGAGCAAGGATGAACCCGAGGATGCAAGTGAAGGACCCCAAGTAACACAAATGCAGAGAATTATGTTGAGTAAACTGCTTTACAACCAAAACCAGTCATATAAAGGTTATATAAACTGTTATAGAACATGTGTGTTGCTTGGGACACGACTGGACAGTTGCTTACCGACCCCACTGACCATCTGAAACGCTGGTCTGAGCACTTCGAACAACTTCTTCAAGCTTCGACGGCCAACCGCCATCAACATCTCGGCATGATCCACCTAGGGTGCGGCGCATCACTCGCGTCAATTCCGAGGCCCCATCACGGCAGGAGATTGAAGCAGCTATCCGAAGCATGAAATCTAACAAGGCTCCAGGGGTCGATCGCATATCAGCAGAGATGCTCAAAGCTGACCCCATGCTATCCGCACAAATGTTGCATCAACTATTCTGTAATATCTGGGACACCGCGACTTTTCCGGCCGACTAGATGCAGGGCATCTTAGTGAAGGTCCCAAAGAAGGGGGATCTGACTGTGTGCGACAATTGGTGAGGCATCATGTTATTGTGTATTTTTCTCAAAGTTCTGTGCAAAGTTATCCTGAATCTGATACAGGAGAAGATCTTGTGTGGACCATATTGTCACGCTCCGCATCATCCTGGAGCAGGTCAATGAATTCCAATAGTCCCTTTATTTGGTATTCTTTGTTTACGAAAAAGCTCAATCACGAGAATCTGTTGGGCGCCCTGAGACGCAAGGGAGTCCCGGATAAAATCGTCAACCTCATCGAAGCGCAGTATCAGGCTTTCACTGTTACTCATCGTTATCGACGAGATCATGGTAGGTGCAATTGACCGTGTAACGAACCGTGGGCTACTTTGGCAGCCTATCACCATGGAGCATCTCAACGACTTCGATTTGGCTGATGATGTTGCTCTACTAGCACAACGGCGCTCTGATATGCAGAGTAAGCTCAATGACCTAGCCGAACGCTCCTCTGCGGCGGGTCTCACCATCAACGTCAACAAGACCAAATCGTTGGATGTCAACACGGGCAATCCTTTCAACTTTACGGTAGCAGAGCAAGCAGTGGAGAAGGTCGAAAGTTTCCAATATCTTGGCAGCCAAATAGCGTCGGACGGCGGGGCCAAGAGCGACAAAAGTGCAAGAAGTCAGATAAGTCAACGCACCAAAATCCGAATTTTCAACTCGAACGTGAAATCTGTGTTGTTATACGCCAGCGAGACGTAGTGTGCATCAGCGGAGAACACTAAAAAGCTGCAGGTCTTCATCAACCGATGCCTGCGGTATATAATTCGTGCCTGGTGGCCTCACAACTGGATCTCGAATGCCGAGCATGGACGATGTCATCAGAAGCCGATAGCAACAGTAATTCGAGAGTGAAAGTGGAAGTGGGTCGATCACACACTTTGGCGGGGCGGAAACGAAATCTCCAAGCAAGCGCTGGATTGAAGTCCGGCAGGACATTCCAGCAGAGGCAAACCCAGGGGCTCATGGCGGCGGAGCCTCAACAAGGAAATAAAGCAAGTCGATAGGAATCTGACCTGGGCCCAGGTCAAGGCAAAAGCAAGCAGCATTAATAAAATTTTAATTTTTCGATTGTAATCCTTCATTAAAGTTCTGGAAAACTCATGGAATTTTATCAAGCCAAATGAGAAGAAATTATAGACAGTATTCAGAAAAAATGGATCAAATTTTAAGACAACCAATTTACCCCACAGCCTCTACTTCGGAATAGTTGCTATGTACATCCGGTTTCGATGTCAATAATGGCATCGTTTAGGTATATGCCAGAATAAAACCACGTAGACTAGCTTGAAAATTCTCAAGAGATAACTTTCACGGATCTGACACAAATCTCCATTACAGGTTCCATGCATCACTAGGTACACACCTTCTACCGCTGCGGGTGAGGCGTTAACCTGTTAGGAAACCCCATCGATCTACCCATGGAACACACTCATCGTTTAAATCTCAATCGAGCATTTTATGGGCTAAGACGCTCAGCTTCTGCACCGAATCCAAAATCATAGATCCGGAAAGATGTGACTTTTCCTCCTGGAAGCTATGCTTTTGTCACCCCGCTCAAGGCCGTTATAGTGCCTCAGTGGCTTAGACCTTCTGACTCCCAGGACATTAATTAAACTCAAGTGCTTCTGGGTGGCGATTTTCCACTGGAACTGAATCTCATTATCTTATTTACGCTCATTCGTCGGCGTTGGTGGAGCTGGGATGGAAACGGAAAGCACTTGAAGAGGCTTTCATAAACTCAAGAGGACTTGACGACACTGCCGGCGTCAGTGATGATGATGATGGGGCAGAGAGATAATTTAGTGGAAAAACCGACTTTTTGCTGTAATTTCGGTTGATTCCAGTCACATCGTATCTCCCGGCGAAGAACTTCCCGCTTTAATGCCAATCTCTTCATGGTGTAATTGAAAATGACCCTTATTTATATACCCTCACGCAGTGTCACAGAGCGACGGAACGACGATTGATCGTCGTTTTCTTCGTTAAGTAAAACATATTACCCACATTTAACCCATCCGGCAGAGTGTGGCAGCTAGGAACGGAGAAGAGGTCTAGTCGTTTGGCAGCTAAAAGGGTCTGCCGGAGGCAGCAAACCGTGTCACTCAGTCCCATTAATTTTCTGAAGAGATCGTCCGAAAAAAGGAACGAAATGGGGCAGACCCCGTAGGCGGATTCCTGTCCTGCGGTTGATATCGTTTCATATTCTATGATAGTTGGCAAGCAGAGAACGGGACGGGAAATGCTTCTACCGAGAGGTTGTACCTATTTTCTAAATGAAAGCATCGTTAGACTGGTTCAGAAAAACTCTTGTCCTTTTTGCAAGAAGCATTCATCCACATTGAGTTCAACGTTGGAACCCGTCTGGTATTTTCTCACAAGCACGTTAAATTCATGCGACCGGCTCATAAAAGCACGCAGAGGCTATATTCCGGCTGGAATGTCTCCACCGCACCATCTTCTTGAATGCTTTTGCTATCGGTCGCATATTTCCCGGCGCTAGATCCACATGCTTTTGTGAAGCGATGCGTGCATGCTAGGAGCAAAGCCGAAGAAACCGAGGAAAATTATGAAAGAACCACCAGCACCCACCAGATCAACCTACTTACCGACGACGGACAGTGTCATGGAGTATCCCACCGGGGGCGTTGTGGATATCTGACACTCGTACACTCCGGAATCTCGTGGTTGCGGGTACAGCACCTAGAAGAAAAACGAGGGAGAGAGGAAAAAGATAATTGAGTTGTTGTTGTTGTTGATGCGGTTCGGTTTTGTGGGCTTGCGGAATGAATGAGAATGGACCGTCGGGATTCCATTTCCAGTCCATGTCGATGACGAAGGAACACCGGGTTCCGCTTGGGATACTAAGAACTTTATTGGCGGTATAAAAATCAAGCTAAGATTTTATCTAATATTTCATAAGATTCGCAGGGCATTCCAAGATTTTTGATTTGTGTTGCATACATTTTCAATCAACTACAAACTGAATATGTTAGTAAAAGAATTACAATGTAAGTAAAAGATACGAGAAAACTGTATGAAATCACAACACATACAGATTGATACGTAAATCAACTGCATGCGCATTAGACTGATGCAAAATTTGAAATTTTCGCTCCACAGTGCTCAAACGGTTCCACATTGGGCCCTGATTAGCCTCCAAAAATTTGAACTCATTTAGTAAGAAACTGACGCAAACCATTTGAAGTTTATATGGGAATTACTATGGAAAAACCATAATTTCGGTTCATATCTATCTCAAAATTCACCAGTTCACTCTACTTTAGAAAATGATAGCTGAGTTTGTTGAAAAATTTTTCAACTACAACTTTGTTCAATACCACTTTTCGATCAAATGTAAGGAACAAAAATTATTAAGGATTCAAGTCACTGATGTCTTATGATTATGCTCAATCAATTGTTCAGCAGGCAACATTGGTGTTTATGGCGCGTAGAATAGAGGACAAAATCATAGCTACTATGTCACACAGCAGAATACAGTGTTGCCCACAATCAGCGTTGCCAGGTCATTTTCAGAAAAATCTGGACCAGGTAAAATATAAAATCTGGAAAAATCTGGAATGCTCCAAAAATCCTCTTTTTAACATAATGCTATTGAAATCAAAGTGATGGGCCAATCTATATATATATATGTATATAAAAATGAATTTCTGTCTGTCTGTCTGTCTGTCTGTCTGTCTGTCTGTCTGTCTGTCTGTCTGTCTGTCTGTCTGTCTGTCTGTCTGTCTGTCTGTCTGTCTGTCTGTCTGTCTGTCTGTCTGTCTGTCTGTCTGTCTGTCTGTCTGTCTGTCTGTCTGTCTGTCTGTCTGTCTGTCTGTCTGTCTGTCTGTCTGTCTGTCTGTCTGTCTGTCTGTCTGTCTGTCTGTCTGTCTGTCTGTCTGTCTGTCTGTCTGTCTGTCTGTCTGTCTGTCTGTCTGTCTGTCTGTCTGTCTGTCTGTCTGTCTGTCTGTCTGTCTGTCTGTCTGTCTGTCTGTCTGTCTGTCTGTCTGTCTGTCTGTCTGTCTGTCTGTCTGTCTGTCTGTCTGTCTGTCTGTCTGTCTGTCTGTCTGTCTGTCTGTCTGTCTGTCTGTCTGTCTGTCTGTCTGTCTGTCTGTCTGTCTGTCTGTCTGTCTGTCTGTCTGTCTGTCTGTCTGTCTGTCTGTCTGTCTGTCTGTCTGTCTGTCTGTCTGTCTGTCTGTCTGTCTGTCTGTCTGTCTGTCTGTCTGTCTGTCTGTCTGTCTGTCTGTCTGTCTGTCTGTCTGTCTGTCTGTCTGTCTGTCTGTCTGTCTGTCTGTCTGTCTGTCTGTCTGTCTGTCTGTCTGTCTGTCTGTCTGTCTGTCTGTCTGTCTGTCTGTCTGTCTGTCTGTCTGTCTGTCTGTCTGTCTGTCTGTCTGTCTGTCTGTCTGTCTGTCTGTCTGTCTGTCTGTCTGTCTGTCTGTCTGTCTGTCTGTCTGTCTGTCTGTCTGTCTGTCTGTCTGTCTGTCTGTCTGTCTGTCTGTCTGTCTGTCTGTCTGTCTGTCTGTCTGTCTGTCTGTCTGTCTGTCTGTCTGTCTGTCTGTCTGTCTGTCTGTCTGTCTGTCTGTCTGTCTGTCTGTCTGTCTGTCTGTCTGTCTGTCTGTCTGTCTGTCTGTCTGTCTGTCTGTCTGTCTGTCTGTCTGTCTGTCTGTCTGTCTGTCTGTCTGTCTGTCTGTCTGTCTGTCTGTCTGTCTGTCTGTCTGTCTGTCTGTCTGTCTGTCTGTCTGTCTGTCTGTCTGTCTGTCTGTCTGTCTGTCTGTCTGTCTGTCTGTCTGTCTGTCTGTCTGTCTGTCTGTCTGTCTGTCTGTCTGTCTGTCTGTCTGTCTGTCTGTCTGTCTGTCTGTCTGTCTGTCTGTCTGTCTGTCTGTCTGTCTGTCTGTCTGTCTGTCTGTCTGTCTGTCTGTCTGTCTGTCTGTCTGTCTGTCTGTCTGTCTGTCTGTCTGTCTGTCTGTCTGTCTGTCTGTCTGTCTGTCTGTCTGTCTGTCTGTCTGTCTGTCTGACCCTTATAGACTCGGAAACTACTGAACCGATTGGCGTGAAAATTTGTATACAGGGGTTTTTGGGGCCGTGGAAGGTTCTTATGATGGTTCGAGACCCCTCCCCCTTCTGTAAGGGGGGGCTCCCATACAAATTAAACAGAAATTTCTGCATAGCTCGAGAACTCATCAAGCAAATGGAACCAAATTAGGCATGTGGGGGCGAGTGTGGGGGTATATGGAGATAATCATAGGGGGTAGCCCCTTAGATAATAGGGAGGGGGGCTACGTACAATATAGCATGCTTTTTTTCAAATCGGCGCATAAACTCAAGCATATATTGAATCCCGAGCAAGACCGGGCACACTCAGCTAGTCTCCAATAAAAATAGGTCAGTATGATCATCTGAAATTTATTGAAAGTATTAGTATGGCTATAAATTACATGTTTAAATAAATTATATACAGCAAATAACTTGTTAGCATTGCTAAAACCATAGATGGAGTAGATGAAAGCCCAAAAAGTTCAACTATCCATTACGCAGCATTTCAAAAATTGAGTTAAATGTGGGTAAAAAACAGCAGAAAATATGATTAGAATTGTTTTTTAAACTGTAACTTTTTTAAAAAGGATGAGAAGCAAACAATCAAGAAAATTTGATGGGATGGATTTTTTGAACTAATAGTTGATGTAGTCCTTATCATGCAGTACGATGCAGTACCAGAATTTAAAGATTTTATTAGTTCTAAATAATTCTAATATTACTCTGAGGTTGATCAGAGTAACAACACCCAGCAGACCAGTAGGCAATTTTATTTTGAAGCAAAATTTACCAGGCTAAAGGGGGAATCAAAACCTAACATCCTGGAACTCACACACAGTTTACCTAAACTACGGGTAACTCCACTTATCGCATGACCATTATGTCAAAGAATAATTTTATTATATTACTAAAATGAAAGTCTGATAGCTTCATTTTTGAAGTCTCAGGATCTTGAAATGATTCTAAATTCCGGAATTTATATTTTTCCTGCGTCCCAGATTATGAATTTTTTTTGTTAGGCTGAATTTACTTGGAACTCTTCACAGGATATCTTCGCCTTTTTTTAGTTCAATTTGAATCATCCTAGAATTCCATCATATTTCTTTTCTAATTAAAATAATCTTGAAAATATCTTAACTTTTCCAGAAACATTCTAAGAGTTCTAAGCATTACCTCTTGAAATCTCTTATAAATCACTATCCAATTCCACAACTCCCTCAAATTGGTATTCCCAAGAATTGGCTCAATTTTGTGTTCATTTTTCTCTATGAAATTCTTAAAATATTCTTAACTATTTCCTAGGTACATTCTTCAGAAAGACCGTCACACTCTTCTCAGACTTCCCGATAATTCCCTTTAAACTACTTTGTAGGTAAGGTTATAATTGTTTTGAAATCCTTTTCAGTGTAACCTAAGTACTCAAGTACTTTGCCAAAATAGTTTTGAAAGTCTACCAGAAATTGCGCCTTAAATTTTATTATAATTAATCTCCATATAAACATTGGACAGAATTCCATTGAAATTATTCTCACGATTCGTATCAGCATACTCCTTAAGTTTCAACATAAGAATTTTCTATGAATTCTCTTCCGAATTGTATTTCCTTTATTGACAAAATCTCCATGAAATTGTCATCATAGTTGAGAAGACAATGGACACCGTCTACAACTAGAGGTTGCACAGACTGAATATTTAACACTAGATAACGGATAACACACCACACCCATTAGAACAGTAGGGCAATTTTCAGGTTGCCAAAATTTGCACCGGCTGGAGCGGGAATCGAACCTTCACTTCGTGGCACTCACAATACGCCTAAATGACGGGTGACGCCGCACGACCCCGAAGCCCACAAAAATGGATATAATTCTACTCAGAAGTAGTTTGAAATTCTCCTTTGATTTCACAAAGAATTCGCCTCACACTTAACTGTGAACTATTTTCAGAATTACCTTAAAATTCCAATAATGTCTTTATTTTTTTATTGGAGGGTAAATAAATTGCAATGATATTTTTAAGGCAACATGTTTAAAAAATCTGGGAAAATCTGGAACATATTTAAAAAATCTGGAAATATACGTGGTCTGTCTGTGTATCTGGCAAGACGACTAAAAATCTGGAAAATCCAGATAAATCTGGAATACTGGCAACGCTGCCCACAATACAGTTGCTTTATCTTGCCATAAGATTATCAGTCTCTTAAACAATTTATAACTATTTAATTTGACGTTTGGCTGAAAACTGATTTTTTGCAAAGTTTTAGCTGATAAAAATTCCGATAAGAATAGCAATCGAATTGGTTTACAGTACAATATGTAAAAAGGCTAGAAGACAATGAACGAAAAGTTTTGATTTCCCATAGTAATTTCCATATAAACTTCAAATGGTTTGTGCCAAGTCAGTTTCTTATCAAATGAGTTTAAACTTTCGGAGGGTTTAATCAGGACCCGATTTGAAACCGTTTGAACACTGTGGAGCGAAAATTTCAAATTTTGCATCAGTCTAATGCGCATGTGTGCTTCCGTGCTTCCGTCTATTAACGTCTCTTCAAACTGTTCCCCTGGTAGAGACTATACTATAGATTCCATAGATAAGCGGAGGCACAAAAAGTTGTTTTGGCAACCATGAAAAATAAATGATCTTACTGGCATCCCTGAAGAAAGTTCATG